AGACCATTCACTTGGTTAAAACAATGACAAATACAAAATTTTATAGCGGTACCAAACCTCCATACAAACCTGCCATTCTCCTTTCAGAAAAAGAAACTTGTTTAAAATTTTTTTTTGTTTTATTTAAAAAAACGTTTCCCCACATTAGGATTCTCTCCTGTGCAGCATTTTAATATCTTTTGAAATGATAACTTTAGAAAGAACGCGTAAAGACCGCGGATGAAACCGCGCGAAATGTTTATGCAATAACAATAATTGGGTACTAGCCAACTAGTCAAAATCAATACTTTTTTCGAACTGTCAATAACGACAGTTTTCTAGGCCTCCGTGCTGCTACTACTACTGAGATTTTTTTTTAAACCCTGTAATATTTTGTCCTACCCGGGAATCGAACCCGAGACCCCTTGCCCGGCGGTCGCACTTGCGACGACACAGCCAACGAGGCAGTCGGCAGGTAATTATAAGTAAGACTTTTAAGGTTTTTTTTTTTTTTTTTTTCAAACATTATGATCTAGAAATGTACAGTTTTGCTTAAAGTTAAGAAATGTACAGTTTTGCTTAAGGTTATATTGACGTTTATTGTGTTAAAGACACAATTTACAATAGCAGACAAAATAAATTATAATTTCGTTCGTCATTGAGTGCCGCTCACAATCTGCAATCCACCTTCACATTATAAAAGATTGAACATACCACGGTTTTATTATAAAAACTTAAATCATTAGCTTGTTTGGTCAAATAGTTGCAAATGTTGTCAAATACTATAAGTTCTATTTGTAGTTTTTTTAATTAAAACATTGCCCCGCACTAGGATTTTCTCCTGTGTCGTGGGTGCGTTTACAAACATACAAGTTCACATACACAATGACATCCAGACCCGAAACAACATTTTGTGGATCACACAAAGTGTTGTTCCGTGCGTGAATCGAACCCGCGACACGTTGCATGGCAGCCGGTTGCCCAGCCACCGCACCAACCGTGCAGTCAGCAGTTGGAAATAAATTAATCATTTTTAATTCAAACAACGACGTTATTTCCCATGTATGGTATTAGTAAGAATACTGAGACAAGGTTGTAGAACTTATGTTCGTTTATCTACATATATTAAACAAGTGTTTTTTTTTTAAGGAAAAATCATCGAATGACTGCTCCCGCCTGGGTGAGGCGGGAGGGAGTGTCAGACTCTCACTGTCTAAAAACCACCCCGTTCCTACTCCTGCAACGACTTCAATTTGATCTCATTCAAAACTATGAGGGCGTTATAAATATGAGTCCTTGTAAATACGACTTAGGGGTCGACTTAGATGACTCGCCGAATCTTTGCAACCAAAAGACCAACATGGCAGTTAAACAATTCCCAAAAAGACATCTAACAAACCGTGTTATATTCAATCAAAGACAATTTAAAATAGCATACATCTTGAACTGGACAAAAAGAAGCAGAAAATTCGTCATTATTCCAAAAAAACATTGGTAAAAAAAGCGATTTGAGGAATGTCAGGATGTAAACTATTTAAAAAATAAAACGTCAAAAAATGGAGCCCAAAATACCAGGAGTTTATTGGATCAGCGTTTGTACGAAAAGCTTAAAGATTCTCTACTCGTCCTATTATTAAATAAATAAATAAACCACACACGTGACGAAACTATTGGAATTATTTTAAATTGTGCCAAAACTATTCACATTTTATCCAAGAAAAATAACATATACGTATATATTAAACATATATAATTATAGAAATATAAAAAAATATAGAAAAAAAATAACTTTTAAGTGATATATTTAGGGATAACTACAACGCTACGGTGGTCTAACGAATCTATTATGACTTCTGTTTATATACTTAGATAAAATCGGCAGTATAAGAAATAAATTATAAAAATAAAAAGTATAATATAAATATATCTATAAGAACGAGAGAAAAACTTATTGCTGCTAGTGTAACTCGGACACACAATACCTCGCTAAACGCCATGAAACAGTGTTAATTGTTCACATTAAAAAGAGCATATCTTAGGAAACAGCCAAGTTCTAATAATCAAAGCGACCAGCCAAATATTTTTTTTATATTATTCTCTACATAATACCAAAGCTTGAGTTGCTAGCGGCAAAAATCTTAAATAAACAGTGTGGCAAAAACCGTCGACAGTTTCGCCCCGTGTGGGCCGCGGCTCGTGGGTAAGCGGCCGCGAACCGCGTCGCCATTGGTGGGCGACGCGCGGCCGGCGCGCGCCACACGGGGCGAAACACGACGACCTCCAGATACACGAGAAACACGGAACACATACACAAGGTATCGAAAAGTGAGGAAAATCGTTGCATGCGGTACACGAATAATAAAATTTTAAGTGACGGGGTTAGTTCGACCAAAAAAAATATTTGGGAAGGTCGTTCGGACCGGAGGGGGTATGGAACCCCCTACTTCGGGTGAGGCGGGGGGTTCGTACAAGACATGTGTTATGCAGCGACTAAACCTTGCAGTACGTATGTACAACGGTATGAGCTGAGTGCATGCGCGCGCCGAGTGAAGACATGCGCGCTAGGGTGTAGCTCGCTCTCGTACTAACAATACAGAGTGCATTTCAGACAGCGAATCTTAACCTACCCCCATCAAACAAAAAATCTCGTAGCAGATCTTCATAAATGCTACGACGTAGCATATACTACGGCGTAGCACACCCGCTACGAGCACCGTAGCCTTAATTTTTTAAACGTCCGAAATACACTCCATATACAGTGTGTTACCAAAACCGTCGAAATTATAAGTACCCACATTTAACACAAAATATGTTTTAATGATTAATGAGTGATTGTTCCGAAGCGTGTAGAGGAAGCGCTACACCCCGCTGTTAGGCGTGTCGTCCGCACATCGGCGCTGTTATTGTGTGTAAGATAAATCGGTAACAAACAGAGTCAGGAGTGTTGCATGGATAAAACATCGAGATTTTTTAATGTAGTTAAGAGCGTTTTGACGCAGTGCGCGCTAGGACGTTATGGGGAACATTTTTTGTATTAAAATAAAAATGCTTCAAAAATCGATTTGTAGATAAGATATTGTAATCGTACACATCATTATGACGTAACGCATGACGTTGCCCCAATACCTTAGAAAATAGAAGTCAATCTTCACTTTATACCTAAGCAGTCAAACTATCAATGCAAATTAAACTTTCCCTTTCTACGCATAAAGCTCAAA